TAGGGGATCCTTTATTTATTTTTAGAATAAATGACATCAATTCAAACGGAGCGACTATTACCAAAACAAAGATTATATTTAAGCATACTTTTGCCTTAACTGATGCTTTATTTTTGGAAAATTACAAAGCAATATACTTAGCCTCAGCATACAACTATAGAATAATGCTAACAAATAAATATTATACTTAACTTCTCAATTCAAATGATTACTAGAGATCATGTGCAGAAAATAATACAGCAGATGAAGTAACTACTGAATTCAAGCAATTTACAGCAGTATATTAGTACACTAGCTTTACAAATAATTTGATGGAAGGAAATCTTAAATTTATCTCAAATGGAACCCTAAAGATGAAAGATATGAGCATTGAGACTTATTACATTACGTATGGAAGATTTTGTGTTCCTAAAGTTAGTATTATTGCTAAATAACCTTCAGTTATTCATTACGTTTAGCAGGGACCTTTCAAGTTAGATTTAAATTAATACATTTCAGGAGATGAAATTTGTGAGGACAAAAGTAGGAGTTTCTCAAAAGGAGGGTATTTTGGTCTTAGCCCATTCTCTATATTTAACTATACTGCAATCGTATTATAACCAAATTAAATGAATTCAATTATTAAAGAGCCTCTAGTAGTTAGTGTTTAATATCCTGACCTTCAGTAACTATAGTTTATCGTGAATGTAGATTTAAAAAATTGCTATCAATGGTAGTATGTTACAAAGTTTCTCTATTATAAGATTGGAGCGGATGCTTTAGTTATTGATCTCTTGTAATTTTACACTTCTAAAGATGTAAACTGATGTCCTTAACCAGAAGGGAAATTGCATTTGTTTAGAGGTAGAGATGATAATGATATTGGGCCCTTAGTAAGAGCTCCTAATTCAACTACAAAATTTTATCTTTAGTCAAATGATCCTAAAGATGTTACTTAATTCATTTTCGATTGTTATCTTGTAAATAATGATCCTTATCGAAAGATAGAGGAGGAAATTGTATCTATTTAACTTTTTGTCATGAGCTCATGCAATTCAACCTAGGTTAGTTTCAATTAAACTATAAATTACTTTGCATATACCTTAGGATAAGGGGATCGAGTAATCGACTTCATTAAATTATACAATTTCTCAAATCAATGCAACTTTGGCTACCAATTTGTTGTTAAATATAATGATTACTCTCCTGTCATTCCTAGTTTTATCAAATTTGACAATTAAACTTTAAAATTTACTATAAATACAGAAGATGAAAAGGATATAATGCTCCATTATTTAAGAATGAGAGTTACTTATCTTTCTGGCTCTCAGTTTGTTCTAGATGATGACTTATATTGGTATTTAGTTGTATAAGGTAAAAATGGAACTGTAACTGACTATAGTGGACCATATAAATAGTATTTCCCTCCAGATTTTTTTGATCAATTCGAACCTAAAAATATTACAGTTAACAATACTAATACTAATATAAGCAACAACAATAACAACACAAATGGATATAAGCCTCCTCCCAAACAAAAAGATATTATTGAAGCCTTCTTTTTTGGGATAAAACCACCTAAATTCATATAAGAGCTAAAATCTACAATAATCTGTTACTCTAATTAAATTACTGATTATGAGCTTCCTCAGATATCTTCAACTTATAATTAATAACCATCAATTTATATTCAAAATGTAAGATAATTTGCCAAACTTATACAATGAATAAATCCAAGTTAACTTAGTCAGGACAATACTAAACTAACTCTTAGTCCTTCATAATATGACATTGGGACACATAAAGTTTCAGTAGTATTGGTAGACTCTAATGATCTCTCTAAATTTTGAACATATTATGTCAATATTGTAGTACTTCAGAAGAATGCCATATAACTAGAGGATAGTTTACCCTTCACTTTCCAAAATCAGCAAATTAATTAAGATGGGACTATAATAATCAAGCCTAAATCATAAAAAGCTCAAGTACTTCATTAAACTGAGTATTAATTAAATAGAATGGAAATTTCGCTTTAATTAAGTTCAGAAGATTAAATTTTAAAGTGCAAATTTAAATATTAACAATAAGCAGATAGTTCAATTATTATATAGATTGACTCTATGGCATTAGAATAATTATCTGATTCATAAGTAAGAATAAATTAAAAAGATCATTTTATTTTTAGGATGAATTAATTATACACTTCCTATTTAATGATGTCAAGGTAGATTTATAAAAGAGAAGAATACTATAAAACTATGATTAATAAAAAACAGGATAAGGCTTAAGTTAATAATACAAAGACATTAGAATATCTATTCCATTTGTTAAGCAACTTCAGACAGGTATGATTTATCTTTAGTATTTAAGAGACTATAGTTTTACAAAAAGAAAATTAAGAGTATTCTTAAAAACTAGTTTAAGCCTTTTTAGCTTTTGTTTCGATAAATCTAATTTTTTCTCTCATTAAGTATAGATATTTGTCTAATCTTGTTTATTATAGTTCATAAGTAGGATTCATCACATTCTAAATGGTAAATTATCTACAACTTATAAGCAATATTAGCTTATTTCAGACATAACTCTCACTTAGTGGATTCAAGTTAATAGAAGATCTAAATTCTTTCACTACTTTTAGCTTTATTCCAAACATCTTTAGCATTTGGGAAAATAACAATTAAAGCAATGCACTTTTACCAAAGTCATTCATTTATTCTGGCTATCAACAGCTGAATCTTTTAGTATAATTGAGAGGTTTTATTACCTTGGTGCTGATTGCTATTATATATTTCATATCATAAAGAGCAATAAAAGCTTATTTAGAAAAGAACAAGACTAAAAAAGAAAAATTTATTGAGATTTTGCGGAAAAATAAATTGGAAAAGATATTTCGCATTGTATATCAGAAATTAGATTTAAGCTTTTGTTCGTACTTGGTTTGTTACAGTTATTTATATGCATTGATTTATTGCTTTCTAATTCTCAGAGAATGTACATAAATATTCACTGATTATTTCAATCCATCATATTTGACATTCTGCCTTTGTTTATGTGCAATTCTAACTTTTATTCCTTTGATGATTGGCTACCTTATTTTACCTAAGACTATTACATTAACTTATTCTAATCCTTCGAAACATCATTAAGCACCTATTGAAATGACTACAGCATCTGAAAGTAGAAACTAAGATAAATTAACTGCAAGAATACAACATCTAATGAATACTCTTTTAAAGATCAAACTTTAAGAAGATTTAAAAGCTAATTTTGAAGCTTTCGTATTTTTTATGAGAAGACTTTTGTATGCATTTAGTATATCATATTTTCCAATATCAATCTAGATTTTTTTGTAACTTTTTATGAGTAGACTTATGATTTGCAATACTATTAATTAAAGACAATTTCTTCTTACTAATCTGCTAATTATACTTAACGAGCTTTTATTATCGATAGTTTTATATACTAGCTTTGGTATTACCAAGTATTCAGGTACACTTTTAACAATTCAAAATCTTCAAAGAATATATTTCATAATTCCTGCTCTGCTTTTGGTAATAAACTAGATAGTTGTTTTTGTAGTTTTCATACCTTAATTAATAAAATTAATCAACAAACATCTCTTTATATGGGCATACTCCTCTGTTTAAGGACCAGAGAACATAGTATAAATTAAGCCAATACTACAAAAAGGGGTAAATGAAATAAAAGACTTAGAAAATTATGTTAATAAGATGTAACTAAATAATCCTTAGGATTTTATTCAAGAAGTTGATAGCTTTAGTGATGATAGTGATGACGATGATGATGAGGATATTAATGATGATGATTAGAATAATTAAGAAAAATATTTGGAAAATATTCAAGAGACTGAATAAAAAGAGACTAATTTTTACAGTACGCAGGAATGTATTCTTCCATAGATCTCTTTAAAGTTTAAGCATGAGGCTACCACTGCATTTAATATGCATGAAATAGGTTTTTTTCAAGATTTATATGAAGAGGAGGAGAAAAAACTTGATTAAGATCAATGGAACTAAGGAACAAAAAATTTTAAATCTACAAATGAAGATGAGGTATATATCAATGAGCTGATTTTCTAAGATTAGAAATAGAATTAGCTAAAATAGAAGAGAAATTTTAACAAGAGAATAAATAATAACAATATTGAAAAAAGTAAATAAGAAAATATTAATGATTTATTCTAATGAAAATAAAAATACATACAGCAAGCTTTTGCTTTAATTATTTAATTACTCAGATTGAAAATACTTAAATGCATATTAATTATCTATTAATGAATTTCTTTAGAATAATAGCTACTCGGGGTTTTGGGGTTTTGGGGTTTTGGGGAGATCGGAAGAGCACAC